ACATAGGCAAGTCCATGTATTCTCTAGCCTGTGGCCTAAGTGACCACCCCAATCACGCTTACCGCAAGAGCTGAACCATGAACAATTTTAGTTCAGGCTCGACTTCAAGGTTATATTCCTATATTTTCCGGTGCTACTCTTCGTGTGTGTGGTCTTAGATGAACATGCTATCATCTACACATTATTGTACTTCAGGCCACGTCTTGTGAGTGTGGGTAATATCCTGTAAGTATAAGGCATTCATTAAATTGCGTCTTAGCTGGATAATCATCTTTTTCGTATACGCTTTCTACACTTGTAAAATGTAACCATGCTGAATATATCGTATATATTTAGTGTTTATATCTCGGTATTGTACTTGATACAAGTTTAATGTTACCTTTCTTAAGAGTTTTTATACTTATCTTTTACTACTACATCAATACATTAAACTAAACGCACATTTACTTGCAATCCCAGAATAATAAGACATATTATTCTCTCTTACACATTTTCTGGAATTAAACTATTCTTAACACATAATTCCAGTATAACACAATATCATAACCTAGTACAAAAATAGCTAACATACGGACAATTTCAGAAACAATGTTAAAATCGAGCGAAGCACATAACGACTTCTTAGCTTGGACAGGTGCTTGCTAATAGGCGATCCCGTACCACTAACCCACACTAGACAGATGCAATGATGGCGGGTCCAAAATTTGTTCCCGGTGAACGTATGTACAAAAAAAAAAGACTTTTTTACCGTTAAACCTGATTCTTCTCTTCGCTGAATACAACATTACACACTAATGCAGCGAATACGGCCAATCGCACCTGCCTTCTTGTTCAGCAGTTAGGCATTGAACAGGCAATTGGATCTTGAATTGTTCCAGCTGTATGGTTCACTCAGAAGGTTACATCAAAGGGATTCTTATTCAGTGTCTGAATTCATAGAAATGGCAGTGTCATTTTTTACGACAACAATGATCATGATAATATTGATAATAATGATAATAATAATATTGATAACGATAATGATAATAATAATAATGATAACGATAATGATAATGTTAATAATATAATAATACCAATATTGATAAAGTAACCTTAAGAACAACAACAGCAACATTGATAACAATAATATTAACAATGATGATGATAATACTACAACTACTATATATATGCGCAACTTTATTCTGAAGTAGTCGTCCTTGCAGAGTTCACTGTGAAAGTTGCTGAGAGAGAGAGAGAAAGAGAGAGAAAGAGAGAGAAAGAGAGACTTTTTGACTTTGACACGTTTATTGAGACAAAGTAAGATTACATCTCAAAAGGATGAGGTAACTTAGGTTATCCTCACCCTTACTTAATAAGTCCCTGTGCGGGCTCACAATTCATTATACAAAACTTAGGTACAAAGAGAGAGAAAGAGAAGAGAGAGAGAGAGATAGAGAGAGAGAGAGAGAGAGAGAGAGAGAGAGAGAGAGAGAGAGAGAGAGAGAGAGAGAGAGAGAGAGAGAGAGAGAGAGAGAGAGAGAGAGAGAGAGAGAGAGAGTATGAAAATCCAAACTAAACCGGAATTATCAACACCCATTCCTTCCCTCTCTGACTCTGATATGACAACTTCTTATAACAAAACGAAACGGAAGTGAGAATAATATGATTCCAATTATGCCACGCCCTACCAACTCGCACTGGCCCAGCGTGGGAGGGTATGGCCCACCCTCTCCCCACCGTAATACACGTCTCAAGCAACAATAAGTCCATTCCTGTTGAGGCAGCGAGTTTCAGAACATTGGTACCGGAAGACTGGAGACAGAACGACGTGGAAAAAATCGAGAGAAGGTCTGTGTCCAACAAGGAAAGTGATACTCTGTGCTGGGGAGAGACATAGGGAAAGGCAGAGAGAGAGAGAGAGAGAGAGAGAGAGAGAGAGAGAGAGAGAGAGAGAGAGAGAGAGAGAGAGAGAGAGAGAGAGAGAGAGAGAGAGAGAGAGAGCAAGCACCGCAGGCCAAGCCGGTGCTTGTATATATATATATATATATATAATATATATATATATATATATATATATATATATATATATATATATATAATATATATATATATATATATATATATATATATATATATATATGAGAGAGAGAGAGAGAGAGAGAGAGAGAGAGAGAGAGAGAGAGAGAGAGAGAGAGAGAGAGAGAGAGAGAGATTTAGCAACATGTTATGGAATAAGATTTAGCATTTTCTCCGTCTTGGCTGAGTCGGGGACCCTGGGCGTGAGAAAGCCTAATCTCTTCGGCCGCCCATCTCCATCCATCTCTTGCGGTCTGTGTGTGTGTGTGTGTGTGTGTTTGTGTTGTGTATGTGCGTGTATTTGTGCGTGTGTATGTGTATGTATGTGTGTGTGTGTATGTGTGTGTGTGTGTGCGTATGTGTGTGTGTATGTGTGTGTATGTGTGTTTATGCGTGTGTGTGTATGTGTTTGTGTGTGAGTGCTGTGTGCATATATGTGTATGTG